TATAGGGGAGGGTGGGGCAAAACGGCCCCCCTTCAATTGTCAATAACTTGTGAATGACATTGTGAAAATTCCCAGTTTCAACTTCATTTTGAAGATAATTTTTCATTCTTCAAAACGACCTCTAACTCATCCCAATCGGATTATTGAATCGGAAAATATTGACGTTTTGCCCCATCCTCCCCTAGTAATAATTTCTCGATTTAAAAAAAAATTTCTAATTATTTTGGATTTCCTCAGGCCCAAGTATACGAACTAGAACAGCGATTCAAACAGCAGCGTTACCTCTCCGCCCCAGAGCGTGAAGTGCTCGCCTCGGGTCTAAAACTCACCAGCACCCAAGTGAAAATTTGGTTTCAAAATCGCCGATACAAAAACAAACGCGCAAAAATCGAAGACGCGGAGAAGCTGCAGTCCCAATCGCTGAAGAACCAGCCGATCAAGAAAATTCCCGTTCCGATCCTGATAAAGGACGGAAAACCGAGTGCCAGGGATTCTTGCGGTGGAAATTACTGGAGTGGATTCAGACCAGACGTCAACATTCAAGCGATGCCGAGTGAATTCGGGGGTGATCTCCGCTTGAGTCCGGAGTACCGGGGGCCTGAGATAAGATTGGACCCCGGCAACACGGGAAGTGAATTCAGAGACAGCACAAACCTGCCGCAGGAGCCGCACAGGCTCGTCACCGCCGACTACCGGCCCACCTTTGGATCTCCGATGAGGCCCATTAAGACGGAGTACAAGCCTCCCAGTGACATTTCTCCGTTCCCCGATCTCAGGACAACTCCGTCCGACGACAAATCCAGTATTTTAAATAATGACAATCGAACGATCGCCGATATATCTGCCAACGATTTTAGCTTTTCGAGTTATGTTAATCCGCAGAATTATCAGATGCCTTACGTTAATTACATCGAGCAGATACCGATGGAGCAGAATCTGCAGAGACTCTGGTAGCACTTTGGCCAAACGATCGGAGTATTAAATTAACATGATCTTGAATTAAATTCAGTCGCGTCTGTTACTCTCTCCATTGACAAATTTAGATATTTCTGGGAATTGGTGAGTCGTTAATAGCGGAATTGAAATTATTTATAGGGATCATCTGACAGGTTGAGCGAAGCCACCGGTGCTTTTAGGGTTATCGCAAGAGCACGACGGGTCATCTGGCAGTCAAGTGGCTGTGCGTAAATGGTACGCCTCGTTGATCCCTCGTTGTGTTGTGGGACTTACGACCGTGTTCTATATGGTGCTACTGATGCTATTACGAGCCATGGGAACATGCTGATAAAAATGTGATGGCTGATTCGTTTATTTTTCCACTCACACGTCTCTGGTGAGAGTTTCGGAACAGAGGGTGCACCTGCAGTCTTAATTTTATTGGAGACACTTGACGGGGATTGAGATATACGTACTTAGTCGTAGAAATATTTACTCCAGGGGTAAACAATTTTTATGAGGAATAGGGATTAAGTGGCATCCACAATTACTGTTTAGTGATATTCTAGTGCGTAAGGAATCTCGACTTGTCCAAAGATTTCACAAAGATTAATTCAACGTAACGATCAAGTTTTTTATCGACAATTGTTTTTAATGGTCTCGTAAGTATTGTGTGATATGATGAATAAAAGAATGTTAACAATCTAACTCGATTTACTGGTCTACTTTTAATGTGGAACGTCTGAAGGGGAAATATTGACTCTGGGGATGAGGTTTGGAAATGTTTAAAAGCCTATATGAGAAAAAAATCTGAATGATTATGGAGGGGTGTTCATTTTTTCTTGAGGACGGGCCATCGTTGGCGCATTATTCGCATAATCCATCACTCGAAGCTCAACATTGATATATGATATCATGTGGAGGACTCGAATTTCTAATTGATGTATTTGGGGCTGTTACGATAGCTCGTCTGATCATACATACATAATCGTTCGGATATTAATTTCGACGTGGAGATTTAGCAATTGATCCATAGCATTCTGTGGATCTGTACTCGCGCTTGATTTTGAAATTTCTTCAGCTTTTAACTGTTCTGTTATTTTTTCCTGATGTAGCTGGTATTTTTTTATCGACTGTAGAAATTAACTTGTCGAATAAATAATGTAGAACTACAGTCGATCAGGAAGAAAATACTAGATACAGAAACGCCAGAGAGCGGGATCTTCTTCACTGGCTGTTCCACCCAGGGCTAGCAGTCGGGAATGTAGAGACCCCTCGAAGATTTTTAATAATTCTCATCATCATTCTAAACATGATAATTCACAGTGCAATTTAATTTGAGTTTTAATTATAAAAATAAAGTAACGTCAATTATGCGTCATCATTTATCGAGGGCGACATTTAAATTACTCAAGTCATCAATACGCGACTTCTTTCTTTCTGTTCTCCAAATTTACACTCACAGTTTTAATAAAACATTCACCTCAACACCTTCATCCTGTTGTGCTTACATAAAGCATATTAGAAACAGAGTTTCGAAGAAGATAGACTGACGATGAAGTGAATGAGCATAACGTCAGTGGATGATGGTTAGTTGGCGGTGGCAAACGCCTACCAGTTATACTCAAGCACTAATATTACATCTCCGGACTGACAGACGTGCGGACTTTAAAACCCAAAGCTAACAAACAGTTAGCAGTCATCCGGTCTCCTTGCTTTCATAATCTTCTCCCTGTGTATGAACACGTTTACATGTAGGTTCAATTTTACGAAGTTGATTTATTGTCGGAGAAATCACTTCCATAAGATATTTATTTATTAAGAAGCGAGAAGAATATTTCCGCTCGGATGTTCGCTTTTGCCATTTTTATTTCTCCCAACTTCCACCCAATAAATTTGAATCAATTGGCGGTTAGAAAAAAAAAACGCGGGGGAATGAGTCACTCAATGAGCAAGGAGAATGTGCTCTCCTCCCGATAAATATAAAGGACAGAGAAGAGCATTTTGAACATTGGGGTAGTTGGAATAAGGTATAATTTTCCGCGCCAATTAAGGTCTTTAAGAATTGCGACCAATTGAGCAGGAGGGTCCAGAGCCTTAGCGTTTGGAGTAGGAATAAAGTTGTACCGGCATCGTGTGCCCACCCTATAATCTATCATCGATTGGATCTCCAAAGAGAGAAAAAGGTCGCCATCAGTATCTAAGTAGCGCCAAAGTTTTCGGGCCAAATAAATACACCCAGAGATCTCTCAAAATCGCTGTCCGACTTTTACCCATATTCCATTAATGTAGAATTCATTCTTGAATCAATAATGTATCTGGAACGAGAGTTGCCGTGCGATTCCCATCATCGTACCAAGTGAGGCGTAGTGTGCGCGCTTCTGTGGTTCACACTTAATTAAACCTACATAGGAAACTCGGGGGCTCGCACGTGGCAATACAATACCGACGAGTCTTTAGCGTCAATTGTTATGTAAAGTAACACCCCTGGTTGGTGTTACGCGGTCCAACACTGATCTGTCAAACGTTGGATACTACTGGAACTACCGAAGTAGTTTTCCCAACGAGGGAAAAGTCGAGTGCCGTCGTGCAACTTTGCAAAATCGTTAGCACCGATTCAACCAAGTTGAGACGTGTCTTTTCGAATTTCTCGGGAGAAACTTTTCAAAGGAAACGATTTTACGACGTAAATAGCTACTCTCCAGGCCGTAATCGCGAATTATTTTCAAGATTTTTTAACCCGATGATGTGATTAAAAAAATAGACAGCACATTCTCCAGTACGAATTTCAAAAAAAAAATTGATGAGCTCGTGATTTTTTTTTCTTTTTGGGCAAAGAGTTTGAAGAATCCTCTCTTTTCAATAATTCCGGTGGCGAGAGCCCTCGCAAAAAGTAGTATGGTTAGTATTACGTCGTGACGGCGCCTGAATCACCACCACTATTACCACGAAAAGCTTCTCGCGGCAAAGGTGGTCTGGATTGGTTGGTGGTTGAAAGACGAGTGCGCGGGCAAATGATGGGATTGGCTGTGGGGCGAGGCATCGCCGATCCGAGGGAGACAGCTGTTGAGTGTACGTCCGTCGACGATGTGTGCGATAAGCGCGGAATGACGGGCGAAAGCCCCACCTCCGTGATATCGTTACGGTTTGGCCTCATCAGTGGAGTAGATAGAGAGAGGAATAGTCAGCCAAGAGGCATCATTACTCTCTCGCATGAACGAGTCAAGCCGGGAACAACTGCGAAACTCGTTAGCTACTGTCACATCCGGGTGCCTCCTTCGGTCGCCGCATCGCGTGTATCGCAGGAGCGGGAGAGACGGAGAGAGTGACATTTTTTTTCCGGAGGGAAGACGTGGTGGTGGAAGTCGAGTGGCGCACTAATTCGAAAAATAAGTCCCCACGCACTTGACCGAAGCACACTCCGTCGAAAGGGTGCAAGCCGACGGTAACACTTCACTGGTGACAGTTTCGGTGATTCAAAGTGAATAAACGTGATTGCAAGTTCAATTGTGGTGGCGAAAATCAAAGGATTTTCAGCTCTCTGATTCAATGAAGATTGTGCTCAGTTGAATCGAGTTTTTTTTCCGAATTATTGGGGATTGATTGGGAATTGGGTTTGCAATGGCGACGGAAGAAAACAGAAGTCCTGCGAGTTCTCCGAAGCCATCATTAGTCGCGCAACCAACACCTTTCAGCATCGAGGATATTCTCAGTCACTCGAAAACCCAGGGAGAATCAACAGACATCCGTCGCTCGATGCCTGAGGAATTCCCCGAAAATTCTCTCCATGGACACAATTCGGATTTCCCAGTGTACGACCGAAGCCCCTGCAGTTCCATGGAGCACGACCCGAGATTATCCAATCGCTCAGTATTCCGGAAGGAACCGTCCTCACCCGATTGTCAAGCGAGTGTTGTGCGAGAGTTGGATCTTCTCCGCAGGAATCTCGCCCAGGCGAATCTATCCAATTTCGGGAATCTTCCAAGAGCCAGTTTCGATAATTTCGATCGTCTCGGCATCACATACAGGAAGATGAAGGAGTCCGCGAATCGCCAGCAGGACGAGGCTCTTGACATGAGCAAGAGTAAATATCTAGGTGAGCCTATTCATGTAACTTTTATTAGATTCGTGTAAATGGGAAATTTGAGGCCAGAGTCAGACGTATCCACTTGTCAGTCGAGAGTTTGAAAACTTTTAACCCGAATATCCGGGCAAGAAAAAAGATAACGTAATTGAATATAATTTTAGTAGCATAAGTGGCCACTCGACGGGGCAGACGTCACGAGTGGCCTAGGGGGGGCTTATACACTCAACTTCTTGCACTTGTCCGTTTTGCCGTCAATGTCTGCTATCCAAACTTCCCTCATCCCCCCTTTGAAATGCTTTATGGCCTTGGTATCGTGATCTTCACCACTATATCTCACTTCCGTTCGTGCTAGCTTTGTGATCGGTCCTTCGAAGAGAGATTGAGTTACACATTTTCACTGACTCTTCCATCATTATACGCATCAACTCCCCCGTTATTTGACATTCACGACGCCTGAAACACGAGTTTTATTTGATTCAATCGTCGAGCGGTAAATGTTTGAGACGTTCGATTATCCGATTAATCGAGGCACTTGTTAACATCTGAAATAAAAAGACTGCACGCTGGTTTTCTCGAGACTAAACAGTCTGTGGGGAGCCGGAGACGTAGGAATTATATACCTGACTTTGGTTAAGTAAAGAGGAATTGCCTGAGGAGTATACGGTGAAGTAAACAAGTGCACACGTGTGGCTATACCAGAAACGAGACATCAAAAGCCTCTTTAACCGTCTTCTCATAATTCTGGGGTCTTTTTCAATCCTTTGGGATTGAAAGTTTCAAAATCCTCATTTAATTTTATTACTTTTGCCTCTCAACTTTAGGGGAAATCTTGTTTTCTTTACAGACGACATTGAGGACGATCTTTACGATTCTCAGACCCACGGGCAATCTCTTCAAAACCGAAAGAAGAGAAGTAGAGCTGCTTTTTCCCATGCCCAGGTCTATGAATTGGAGAGACGGTTCGCAGCGCAAAAGTATCTCTCCGGACCGGAGAGGGCTGATCTCGCGAGGGGGCTCAAGTTGACGGAGACACAAGTGAAAATTTGGTTTCAGAATCGAAGGTGCATTGTCCGAAAATTCAAACAGTAAATTGTCAATTCCACGCACTTTCCACTCTGAAAATTATCGAAAACTCAATTCCCCAAATGTTATGACACAAAGACACAATTAATTATCTGCCGTTGATGGTAATTTGACCGTCTAATTGGGTGTAATTGCAGGTACAAGACTAAAAGACGTCAACAACAAGAATTAGGCGCTCTGGTAAACTCAAACACTGCCAGAAGGGTAGCTGTGAGGGTACTGGTCCATCCTGATGAGCACCTGAGAGGGCTTCCACCCCTTCGCGGCTCAAATCTCCATCTCCCCGGGCAAATCAGCTGTCCACCTCAAATCCATCCATCCAATAAAGCTTTAAACACGTTTCCTTACTACTGCCTTCCCTATCACCCCCTCCTCTGTCCATCTCTACATTCGCCTCACATACAAGTTCCGGGGATTCCCGAGTTGGAGCAGATTCCACGTGATACCCAAATAACAAAAATCAATCATGAAAAATAACTAGTTCCACCGGATAATTGAGATTCACTGACACAAATAAATGTAATGAGGGAGCAAATTGTCTCGATATTTCAACTACGCGATTTAGATAATTACGTCGATAGTTGTAGCCAAATTCCTTGTCAAAAATTATTGAAAATTTCTTTGAATATATTTATTACAAATATTAATATGATGTTGGTTAGATATACATGTATATTAGATATGTAAATAAATGTATAAACAGTCATGTAAATTTGGGATTTTCATTGTGATTCACCTGCCACTTGACCACATTTGTCCGTTGAATCCTGTGCAATTGAGCGCAACGAATCGCTTGGGATGTTTTGGTATGATAAAAACTTGTGATTTATTACGGCGAAATAGAAAAGCTCGTTCGTCGCTTCGTTGGAGTGTCAAGTGTGATACACACGGCACTTCCATCCTCATTTTTTATCGTAGAAAAGGGTGTTTAACTGCGACAGAGGAGTGATTTTTTCTCCATAAGTGTTTTAATAGTTCCATCTGGGTGGCCCAACCAGACATCGGATATGTTTATTCAGACGGGCCTTTGGGGACTGTCTTGAGCCGTCGGCCTCATGTCAGTAAAAACCACCACCATCAGTACACGGCACTCATCCGCCCGTTAAACCAAGGAGTTACATTAACATCAACCCCTTTGACGTCAAAAATTTTTCATCAACAATTATCCGTCATTATTGTTCACGTGGGCCATGGGGAAAATAGAATATTACTGGGGAGAGTTAATTCAGATGGGGTCATATACTCGCTTCTGCAGTCCATTATCGTTTTGTTTATCGTCATTTCAAAACATTCCAGGGTCGTAACTGTACGGTTGAGCATACTGACGTGATCTGTGGAGTCTCACTCGTGTATTATTGGCAGAGGAGACTCTTTCCTATAATGACCTGTGGCTTCCTTTGCTTGACATTATTATTCTTCAAATTTTCCTTTCAAAAGAATTTTGAAACATTCACTTTACCATTATTCATCGAATTTTTTGCTCTCCTCGCAAATGCAAAAAAAAATTCAATGAATGAATTGAATTATCCATCGAAAATATCTGTACAGGCCTTACATATATACAGCTCTGAATTTCTGAAATTCCCCGTTGAAACAAGAAAGGAGCGATTTAACGCTCAATCAAGCGACGAAAGCTAATTTTCATTAGCTGTTAACTGGTGGAGCCCCGTCTAGATGAAGGGTAGTTCGTCTCACCCCCGGCTTTCGGCCGTGTCCTACCTCCGCACTCTTTGTCACATCTCGCTCGTTTCCCTTACAGTACTCTTATACCGCTGAGGACAGCACATACTGCAGGCGAGGGATGTATATCCATCTGGAAAATCGCATATCAATTTCCGACTGCTTTATTGTCCTCAAGCACAAAAGCCCTAAGATTATGCATTCGCCCGCAATTTTGAACATTCTGCATTCGATGAATTTTATTCCACGCGCATTTGTTGAAAAGTGCGCTTATATTCATGGCAAGCCAGGAGTTATTATCAATTTTTACGAGTCATTTCAAGATGGGAGGAACTGGTGAGCGACAGAATAAAAAATATAGATATATCGCCCTCGATTTTTCAGACCACCACAAAATCGTACGGTTGCCCGGATTTGAAAGTATAATCTCGCCCGATTTTTTTCCAATAATTAACTTGCCATGTTGTGGAGAAAGGAATTGATGAGAATTTATTGATCAATCTTTTGTTAGTTTCAAGGTGACTTTTTTTCTTGTAAACGGCAAAGTGCAAAGTCCCCTTTAACCTCTTCAATAGTCCGTGTGACTATGCGCTCTGGTCGCCCCTGGCAACCTCGATCGAGGCGCGTGTCAGGAGGTGGAATAAGCTACGTGGATATGGAAAAAAAAGGAAATGTAGAAAAGGAGCAAGAAGACACCTTCACTAAAATCTCAAACTTGCAACCCAGTAATTTTCTGTCTGAGGGATGAGAGCCAAATACATATTCCCCAAGTTCATTTTAAAATAGCTGTTGAATAAAAATGATGAAATTTTCACGATTTGAATCACCCAGAGCACGATTTTTCATCTACAAACGATGCAATATTATCGATTAGGCGCGATCAAACGGAAATACACCTGTTTGTCTATAGATAAACGTTTTTCTGTTGCTTCGGGACGAGCGATTCTCAAAGAGGCAATTTGTCGAATTTTTCGCGGTGAAAAAAACCCGGCGTCGAAGAAAATTGTCGATCGACTGGGGCCAATCAACAGCGTTTCATGCGGTCGAGTGGGTGGGGAAGGATATAACTGTTGGGGAATAAAAGAAATAAAAAAAGTGGATTTTTCTATACCGAGAGAACGTTTTCGTGAACCAGTGCGGCAGTTCGGGGGCACACGTACGTATGATAAAATGAAGTTGATGTGAGTAGCTGTATCAAACGAGGGCAAGCATTGACCATGTTGAGCATGTAGGGAAAAAAATGATGGAAAAAAGGCACTTGTCTCCTTGACTAGAGATGCCATTCTATTTTATCTGAAATAAATTCAAAGTGGGCACTTGAGAACGCGTGCATATACACTCGAGGATCTTTCCACTGCTGGGATGCGATCCAATGAAAAAGGTGTTTTGTTATGCAAGGATAGGTGCAATCCAGAGAAGTGCTCTTGGTGGAAATTGTTTGGATCGACTCGACAAAAGTATCTTGGAGAGATGCCAGGCATTTTTTCATCTCCACGTTTGAATCTCGCAAGACAAAGCGGGCGAACCTTCTCATTATTGAGCTCGATTTCTGATCGTCTCCTACTTTACGATTTTTATATTCACTCTGAAGTGAATTAGGCTTCGTCTTCTCCATCACGCATTGCTTTGAAATCCTGACATGCTTTCAAACAATGAGGGTGGAAAGGATTTTAATTGAAACTGTTGCACGAAGTGACAATCTCGGCTCGCCGCAACACTCAATTATTTCGTTAAATATTCAAACGCCGTTTCATCTATAAATAGTGCTCAAATTACTGGGAGGGTTCTGCGGCAATGTTTTATCGTCCATTTTGGAAAAATAAACGACGAGCCATCGGTGGAAACAGATGAGTGACTGGCATGCAAACACGCACGGTGGCGCGAGCCCCGCTCATTTGAAAAACTGAGTGACAGCCGACCTTACACGATTGTTATTGAGTTTACATTATGGTTACTTTTTTGTCGCTGTTCCACGATGCTTCAGTGGGATCCTTTTGGAATCTCAACCTTTATTGCTCCGCATATTGGAACACTTGAGGATGTTCCTCTCAACTCGGAGAAATTTCTCAAGGGATTCTTTCTCTCTATCAAGAAGAAATCGCGGTTAACGATGAGAGAAGCGAGCTTGTGGATAAATTACCAACAGTTGGACAGAGAGAGAATTTTTAAACATCCTTACCGAACGTGGAATTTACCGGAGATGGGCAACTTGTCGGCAACCACCGAGTCCAGGGAATCTTTATAATCGACTTACCGACAAAGCAGATCTCATCATATTAGATCGCCGCTAGTGAAACGAATTATGATACTCCATAAATCAATTATTTTTCACCATCTTGAACCCAGAGTAACAATTAAATAAACATCTTGGAAGGCATGAGACAAAATCAGCCTGGCCTGATCCAAGCCCTAGCTTCTGGGTGGCTATAGTTTCAACTGGACATGTCGTGTGAATAATGTGAGTAGTCCGTCGGCTAATTACTAGTCGTCATCGTAGTCAAATGGCGAAGCCGATCGCGTGAGCGTCCGGGTGACATTAAAAATGCGAGTGTTCTACACTCCATCATTCAATATGACTGACGCTAATTGTAATGAGAGCTGTAATTGATCAGAGAGCGCTATAATATTGAACCAAGGGAGAGGAAAAAAAGAGAATGAGTCCAGTCCTTATTCCACGGGCTGTCAGCCTAGAATAGCAGGATATCCATTTGCGTGAAGAATCCCGTGGTGATAGACATCTCCAGAGTCAAATTAAGGCGGAGAAGGCCTGCTGGGTATTGGAGCAGGTTTCCGAAGACAGGTCAAATCGAAGGGAAGGAAAATCGGTGGCCTCCAGGTAATTATTTAATTGGGGCTTTGAGATATATCAACGAGGCTGATCTAGACCAGCTAGTGGAAGAGACGGGAAACCCGCTGGGATTTTATCCGTAGGCGGGATTGTTGATGATGCGATAGGTTAAACGGCTCAAGTATCATCGGTTGGTGAAACTTGGCACCTTACGTACGAAAAAAAGGCAAGACCCGCTAATTTTCCTAATAGATTAAATACCCAGAGAGGGACTTTGTCATTGAGGCCAGAGTCTCAGAGACTTTACTAAGTGAGGGCCTCACCTTGCACGCCATTGTTTCACAAACAAAAGACGTTCCTAGCTAGTCATGGCGGCACTCTTTGAACGCCCCTTGGCCAATCGTTGGCTGCGTTTAGAGCAACCTGGTATAAAAGAAACCTGTGCCCGTCGATGATTAAGATTTTCTGCGTGTGCAACTAATGCCCATGGGTTTGTACCACATTAAGATCGTCTCATCAAGCGGCCGAGGTGATTTGATGCTGTAAGACTGCCAATCTTGGCTCATCATTTCTCATTCACTTTGTTGTTATAATTGAATGATTTACGCATATATTAATTTTTCATTTATCTTTATAAATGGTAAATTTATAGGCAATTAACTTATTCAGCGTGAAGATGTGATGACATTGATAGAAATTATTAAAATAGAATGGATGAATAGCTAATTTCAACGACACATTGACCTGTGAGTTATAAACTCTCTAGTCCATTCAAGACTTTTTATGAATCATCATCGAGAAACCATTTCAGAGTTTTTCATCAACGTCCACCTCTCATTTTTCTTGCCCCCACTTTGGTCGCAGTGAGTCAAAAAAAGTAATGGAAAGCCGAGTAGAGATGCCGCAGGGCTTATATAGAGGATCATGATTAATCAATTAGCAATCTCGGGGAGCCCTTAAAAATTGACGGCGACGATGGTAAAAAAAAACCGGATCCAAAGGAGCCGACGTGACGCTGCGGTAAGGATTGCCCGCAAACGACTATGTTTCAAGAAATAATAATATCAAAAAAGGGGAAATAAAAAATTATCCTGCATCCAGGGTTTC